CCACACCCCTCCCTTCCCCTCCCCTCCGGTCACTCTCACCTGGACTGGCGAGAAGGAGGCGGAAATGGAAATTGGGGCTTGTCCACAAAGCTGGATTTACTAGCTGTTCCCTGCATACCGGCGGAGAGCCGCGGATGGGGAAAGGGAGCAGGGGTTGGCTTCCTGAGCGCAGTAGATGGGCTCCCGCAGTTTAGGCGCCACAGTCGCCGTGGGGCGCCTGAAGGAGATGGGCGTTGGAGGGTGGGTTGGTCGGGGTGGTTGGTTAGGCAGGCCCTGGAGCCAGACCTGGTGGGGTTCCGGGCGCGAGAAAGTTCTGATACACTTCCAACTGCTAATAGTGGGTACTAACGGGAAAGCGAGGCGTGGGTGCTGGGAGAGGGGCGCTCAAGCGGAACTTGGAGCCTGACGAGTAAAATTGCAAAAATTTTAAGACGAACAACTGACTGTCGTTCTCTGGTACTTGTACGTAGAAAAATGAAAGAGGTTTTCACATCCTGGAAGAAAAATTAAGGACTTGAGTGGGGAGAGAGGGAACTGGGGAAATACTGACTTTGGGGTCGATTGTCTCCGAAAAGAGATGTTCCAAAAGTTGCCAAGTCAGAAATATTTTGCAGAATAAGGGCCACGTTATGTGGCGGTTTTCTGTTCTTTCTGTAGACTTCTAAATGTCCTGCTCCGACCTACCCCCAGGTGGCCGCAAACCCGGCCTAGAATGGGCCTGCTCCCGGGCGTCCGAATGTAAATTGTTTTCCCTGGTTCTATTCCCCTGCACAGGCGCATGTTTCCTTTCTTGAGCTTCAACATAAACGGACTCAATCCCACTGCCCACTACAACGTGTTCGTAGAGGTGGTGCTGGCGGACCCCAATCACTGGCGATTCCAGGGGGGCAAGTGGGTGACCTGTGGCAAAGCGGACAATAACATGCAGGGTGAGGAGAGAGGAGGCCCGGGCAGGGAGGAGCGGGCCAGCGGGGGACCCTGGACTCAGATAACTCCCATTTAAATCCAATACTTCCCCCTGATCTGCAGAGGTGTTAGTATGAGTTTCTTTATATTGTTTGAATCTGGAGAGAGGGAGAGAATTGCCAAGCCACGATGTCTTGCCTGTCAATATAAACTTTGGTACTTTTACCGTACCCTGCCCCTTCCACCCCTCCCCTACCAATTCCTACTAAATCTCCCCTACCCCCCACCCTCTGTCCCGGGGTGGGGGTGGGGTGGGGGCAAGGGCTCCAGTCTTTGAAGCCTTGAGAAAGCCCTGCCAAGGTCGAGTCCACCCATGAAAACCCAGCCACTTTCCATCAGACGTTGCCCTTCCATCTTTAGAAGGCCCCAAAATGACCTTCAGGAGACACCTCCTGGTGGTTCTATTTTTATATTTTGAGCTAGCATTAGATGACTGCCTTGTCCAGGGAAGTCTGGAGGCACAGGCGCCCTGGGTGGGCTGTGGGTGGAGTCTAGTTGGAGAGCTAGCACAGGGAAAACTAGGCTGGAAGAGTAGCTCTTAAATGTTGCCCACAGGTAACAGACATCCCTCCCCGTGTGTCCATTTGTAATCAGCCCTGTATGCTTGGGTTTTGTGTTTTGTTTCATTTTCTCTTAGGCAACAAAATGTATGTTCACCCAGAGTCTCCTAATACTGGTTCCCACTGGATGAGACAGGAGATTTCTTTTGGGAAATTAAAACTCACCAATAACAAAGGCGCAAACAACAACAACACCCAGGTAGAGTGACAGAGGATGGGCTGTCTTCTGGCGATAGATCCCTTTCCTAACGAGTTTCCGTACCCTTCACTGTATTTGTAATATGTGCACTTGTTCCCTGTTTGCTCGCCTATTTCTAACCTTTTTTTTTTTCTTTTGACCTTTCTCATTTTCACTAGATGTCAGTAACAGTGAATTGACCGTTAGGAAAAGAAATACTAAAAGCTTTGGGGGACTTCATAAACTAAGAGGAAAGAGTGTTTATCAAATATGCATGCCGGGCTGTGTTTTTAGGTTTCAAAAGCAGCAAGGATAAGATCTGAAAAATGACATAGAAAAATGTCGCGGTCGTGGGGAGCAAGCGGGAGTCCCATCGCAAAACTATGTAGTTTGTCAAGATTTACTTTTGCTGAGCCTCTAAGAGACTTCTGGGATTTGGCGACACTTTTTCTGTACCATTTCCAGATGATAGTCTTACAGTCTTTACACAAGTACCAACCCCGGCTGCACATTGTTGAAGTTACAGAGGATGGTGTGGAGGACTTGAATGAGCCCTCAAAGACTCAGACCTTTACCTTCTCGGAAACACAGTTCATTGCAGTGACTGCCTACCAGAACACTGACGTGAGTGTCCCCACTGTCCCAAGAACCTCTACAGCCAGGTCCGGTGTGATAACGCACTCAACGACTATCTTTCTCCCCTATCTAGATAACTCAACTAAAGATTGACCATAACCCCTTTGCAAAAGGCTTCAGGGACAACTATGATTCGTAAGTGCAACTTTTGTTCATATTTGTATGGTCACCTTTGAACAGGATATATATAACCAGACACTTTCAGAGAACATTCTAGGAAGAGTTTTCATCTTTGGGATTTTTATCTATTTTTATTTTTTGCATAGTTTTCCCTCAGCTAATCTTGCTTTAGAATTTTCACAGAAGGGTTTTGTTAATTTCTAAAGGAAGGTTAAGGGCTGAAAAACGAGGAGCTTTTTTTTTTTTTTTTTTTAACACTTGAGTGGAGATTTGAAATTTTCATAATCTGCATTTATATACCTTCCTTTTCATGTGAGCAAACTTTTTTTTTTATCCTCTAAGGAACAGGTATTATTACTCCCCTTCTTTTATTATTATTATTATTATGATCATTTTACATAAGAAAAACTGAAAACTAAGAGGATGTAATTTTCACCTTAAACAGCAAGACCCCACAATACTTTTTAAATTAGGAATTTCTAACACCACAGCCAGCTCCCCTCCCCTGACATTGACGAAGGAGAGTTGCACCTTCCCTTCTTTAACTCCCAGCACTTAGAAAGGTGGATTCTGTATAGTTTCAGTCCTTAAATGCTTGGCAGGAAACTTCTCCCCCATGAGCCAAGAGTCCAGCGGAAACGGGCCAATGTGCCTCCTACCTCCGTCCCTCCACTCCAGCAGACCAGTGCTCCCAGTGCAACCCACTAAGTGAGCCTTTTTGATTTCTGGGAGGTGGTTATTTGGGGCAACATTAGGGTTTTTTTTTTTTAAGTGTTTCTCTTTATATTGTAGCATGTACACCGCTTCCGAAAATGACAGGTTAACTCCATCTCCCACGGATTCTCCTAGATCCCATCAGATTGTCCCTGGAGGTCGGTACGGCGTTCAGTCCTTCTTCCCGGAGCCCTTTGTCAACACTTTACCTCAAGCCCGATATTATAATGGCGAGAGAACCGTGCCACAGACCAACGGCCTCCTTTCACCCCAACAGAGCGAAGAGGTGGCCAACCCTCCCCAGCGGTGGCTTGTCACGCCTGTCCAGCAACCTGGGACCAACAAACTAGACATCGGTTCCTATGAGTCTGAATATACTTCCAGCACCTTGCTCCCATATGGTATTAAATCCTTGCCCCTCCAGACGTCCCACGCCCTGGGGTATTACCCTGACCCAACCTTCCCTGCCATGGCAGGGTGGGGAGGTCGAGGTTCTTACCAGAGGAAGATGGCCGCTGGACTCCCATGGACCTCCAGAACCAGCCCCCCTGTGTTCTCCGAAGATCAGCTCTCCAAGGAGAAAGTCAAAGAAGAAATTAGCTCTTCCTGGATAGAGACACCCCCTTCCATCAAGTCTCTCGATTCCAATGATTCTGGGGTATACACCAGTGCTTGTAAGCGAAGGCGGCTGTCTCCTAGCACCTCTAGCAATGAAAATTCTCCCTCCATAAAGTGTGAGGACATTAACGCCGAAGAGTACAGCAAAGACACCTCAAAAGGCATGGGGGGGTATTATGCTTTTTACACCACTCCCTAAAGAGTTACTTCAACTTCGTAAAAATGAGCTAACTTTTTGCAGATGGACTTGGTGGTGTTTTTTGTTGTCTTCTTTGCCTAGGTTTGCCAAAAAGACGTTTGCATTCCACCATGATGCATCCTGTTTTGTGCAATCCTCTAAAAGAAGGTGCCAAAGCTTTTTGATTGCTGCAGGTAACTGAAACAAGCCTGGCAATTTTTTGTTTCTTTTTTAAATAAAATTAAGGAAGGACTTTAAAGTGTTTTAAAATTCCAAGGTTATTTGAGGTTCTGGATCTATTTATTGGAGGCACTAAACATTCAGAGAATCGGGCTGTGAAGATTGAGTGCTGAGCGCTATCCGATGAGTTGAAAGCCTCGGTTCTCATTTCTATTTGTGAATCTGTAAGCAAAGAGAATCCCAGAGTGGTAAGATGTTTTGCTTCTGGAAGAAAAGGGCTGGGCCTTAAGCTTCAACAAGGGACTTTTTGCTGTTACTTTCTGCTGGGGACAAAAGATGCTAGGCCTAGGAGGTGAGAAAAACTTTCCTGAAGGTGCTGGTTTTACCTGACTTGGATTCCTCCTAGGCTTTGGAAACAAGCCATGTTTGCCCTAGTTCAGGATCGCCTCACTTGCCAGGCCTCTGCTGCGTGCCGGGGTGGCCAGTAGGACTCAGGAGAGGGCAGGCAAGAGGGAGTCGCCAAAAAAGAAAAAAAAGAGAGAATTTTAAAGTGTACAATTTTGTGAGTGCTTAGATACACCGTAGAATAATGTGGGATATATTGTACAAATAGTCTACATACATGTCTGAGATCATGTAACATTGGTGCTTTGGCTTTGTAAAGAATTTCCAGATCACCTGACAACAGTTGCAGGGGCAGGGGGATTGGTTCTCTCATCATCCCTGATGTTTGGGAATATTCTGTTTACTTCTTAGATAGTTAAGAATGTATTCAGCTACTCTGTACTAACTTGAAACGTGTTTAAGGAAAACTATTTCACCCTCTTGCCATCCCCCTACCCAACTCGGTAATGTGAAGAAACTAAAACCTGATGCCACAGCTCCTATAGGCTTTTTAGAGATCTTGGATTTTTATGTACAGTCTTAGTCATTTTTAATAAATGTGGTTCATTAAGGGAACCGGCATAGCTCCGTCTTCTGTACAGTTCTACTCTTTGTTCTAAAGACCTTATTTTGCTTCTTCCTCCACTCTTCTCCAGCATGAACACTGTTCCCCTCCCTACCTCCCCCAGCCCCACCCCCATGTTCTAGAATCTGTAAGTGGACACAGTAGTCATGAGGGGGTGGGATTGCTTTTGTTTATCTTCTTTTTTTTTTT